GACATTGTTCTAAGGCAGAATCAATACCAGTGCTGCAAGACCGCCAACAATAAGTTGCGTTCCCTAGAATTTAACCCTAATGCGTGACAGTACGAGATACAACGAGGGCTTACATAAGAACTTTTCTAGTAGGACAAAGTTGCAAATTCCAGGCGGATAATGCCAGCAAGGGAGTTAAGCTGCAGAAATAAGGGCACACTGGCACACTGTGTAAAACCACCACACCAAGTGTGCTTTTTGGCAGAACCCTACTCCCAATGGCACGCCAATACCCTCGGTAAGCCTAAATAGGGCGCACGAATCGTGGCTCTACGGTCGCTCAAAACACCGCTAAAATATGACCCCCAGGAACGTTGTAGTGTAGGATGGCAGGGTAAAGCAATGGAATCTTTACCTATAATAAATAGGCCAATCTTTGAGCTAATGCATTACTAGACAGGTTTGTGGACGGGGTCGAGCAAGTTTACAATAGCGTTCTGACAGCGAAGAGTACAGGTAATCTCGTTAGTCACAAATTAGACATCTCTGCAAAGAATTGATATTACATAATCACAGCTCAGAGAGCCCAGAAGTCAACCTATAACTAGGGATCAACTTTACGAAACGTTAACCAAATCTTCGAAGGAAAATCGCCTACTAGCTTTGCAAATAAACTGACAACTTCAAATGAGGAAGCGTATTATTTATTTACAAAGCCTACTTAAATATTTTTTTGTAATACTGGTTAACGTGCAGCATAACCCAAGATATTTCCCTCACTTTAGGATGCCGGCCTTTGAAGGAACTCCTTTTCGGCTGCTTACAAAAACCAATTTGCTAAGAAAACGACCACTTAAGACCTATAGTTTTTATAGTGATTTCTAATGCCTTTATAAATTCGAAGATGGAATACAAACGAAAAAAAACACCTTTTCTTGAATTTAGTTAGTAGCAAATCATGCGTTCTCCAAATAGTAAAGTCAAAGGACGGGTATGCTTAGGTTTCAATAGAGTTGCTCGATTCCCGAATAATTCTAAGATCGAACTATGGTTGCATTCAGGTTTACAGGATCCAAGTTGCAAGGAAAATCATACATTATGGAGACACCATTTAGGGTTCATGAAACTTTGCAATGGACGAGGACTGTGTTAAGCACTTCATAGGGAACATTAATAAACAGACGTATACAATGATTGCAAACCTGAGTGTACTCATACAACGCGAAGATTCGCGCTTTTTCGTTTTGTGAGAAATTTGTGTTTGTTTTTCGGGTCACCGGAATGGTACTTGTAATACGTATATTTCATTTACATTGTAGTCGATTATGATAACTTTAGTGCTTTGATTGAGGCGTTCGCGTTGGTTTCACGTTGGATAGTGATGTTTTCTGAATTAAGGCAGGTTGTATCTGTCACGTACTGGATCTTAGTTCAAATGGACGCTGAGCAGCATTCCTCATGTCCTGATACTGGCACGATTCATGAAATTGTTATTGTCAGGTCCACGTTTGGCAACAACTGTGCTCCCCAAATTAACTTTGTGTACGTCCGCATAGGTAATTACAGTACGTAAACAATCGCATTAAAGGTGCTGAACGTTAATTTTTTTCGGCGATGAGTTTTTACTTTTGGGTGAAGTTACAAATACACGCAAAACATCCACCTTTTGCAAGAATGAATACCCAAAATAGGCAATCTCGGTAAATGCTCTGAAGAAATAACCTATTTTGGAGGTTTTGAGTAAAATTCAAATTTATGGAAAATAATAATTTGAAATCATGGAAAATCGGTAAGTATTCGCTGACAGTACAGAGGAGGTCTAAACTAACTGTAATTCAATGTCAGAAATAGCAATTAAGAAATTTGACAGAAGGAAAGTTCCCTTAATATACACCAAACGGTGTGTCTACGATTTCACTTGACAATTCTATTTAGATTTAATGTTTACAGTTACAGCAGATTTTCACGTTTCCAGAAGTTGCAGCTCTTTTTCAAAAATTTGGCACTTCTAAACAAACTAATAGTACTTTTTTAAATTTCTCTTAAGCCATAAATTCGTTTAAGATAGTTCATTATTATTCCGAAGCTTTCGTACATGCGTGAATGTCGCTTTGCGAGTGATTATCAATCTTTTGCAAATTTCGGCCGTTTGCATAAATTAGGTCATCCACTTTGGGTAATGGAATGTTAAAATGAATTTTTATGACCTTCGAACCAGTACTAGCGAAGGGGTTAACAGTTCTAAATAATAATAAACGACGTCAAGCGAAGTGAAAAAATCAAATAATTGGTAAAAGCAAAATTACGCTGAGAATATCAACTTTTTAGAAAAGCGGAAAATGCTGAAAACGTTACAAAATTATTTTGACAGAGTTTACAGAAAGCCTGCATATGTTGTAAACGAGTAAATAAATCAGAAAATATAGATCTGTCCTTTATTGAAGCTACCAGTTAAACAGCCTTGAAGAGTGAGTACGATGTCAAGTATGGCGGTTACCAAAAGTCTGCAGTGTGAATATATATTCCAACAAGGTTTCATGAGAATGGACTACATTTTTTACCATTTTTTAATGGTTTGAGATATAGCAGATTATGGCCGTTAATAAAAAGCCTAGTTTTCGAGTATTTCGAGCACGGTTTCATGAAAATTGGAGGTTTCTTTCTTCCGTTGCTACCTTATTTGAGATACAAGCTTTTCACCTGACCTCGCCGATAAGTACTTCACAGGAAAAACAAATTTAATCAGGTCACGGGTTGACACACCGGTAAATTAAAAGAGACTAGTCAGTTTCAATCGTAGACATATCATTTCTGGTATAGTACGAAAACATTCCTTCCGTTTAGGCTACGTACTTAGCTTGCACGTATTATAAAAAACAGACTTACAGGATCAATCTTGAGGATGAGATTCCATCTGTTTGGCACACGAAGACGAACCTTGGCAGGCGATTTCGTTGCATTGGAGTGCCCAGGTCCGTGAGTTTGCCTTCGCTGAGCAATGGCAGGTGAGCCATCAGGCGTTTTCACCTAGAAGAAAAAAACGGGAGTTTTTTAAAGGTTAAAAATAAACCAAAGAGTGGCATGAAGAGCAGCTATATCTGTTCCGTGTAATTTTTTTACCTGCAGAGAAAAATATTGGGGAAAAAAAGAAATGGTGCGAATATTTTTTTCACAGTCGGCAACAGAGAAAGAGAGAGCAGTACGTTTCGAGTAACTAAGTGCTAGTAACTACAATATGCAATCCAGAAGGAGATGATGCGATCGATAGAATAAGTTTATTGGTCTGACATTTCGGATTCCCGTGATAAACTATCATCGTAGTCAGATGCGGTTCTAGCGCTTGTATCTTTTCCTTTTGAACTGCTCGAATGTGCATTTCTAGCAACGTAGATGCACTGGATAAGCGTTAAATAAAACAAGAAGGAATTTTAGCTCCAGGTGAGATGAAAAAATTGGGTGCGGCAGCTAATTTGGTTAGGCAGCAAATAGCGAACACCAAAACAGTGAGCGGGGCAGCTATATTTGATAATAAAAAGCGTTGATAGCGCGTATAGGAGGGAGGGGTGGATATAAATCCTGAGAAAGTTGAATAATTCACGTTTTTATGGTCAACTTTGATAACTTCTTATCTCACTTTGGTGTGATATGTTGAAATTCCGTTGTCTCGGGCTTTAAAAACTGTTATAACTTTTTTCTTATTAGGCATGTTTAGGGATGTAAGTTAGAAACTAGTTCAAATATTTGAATTTAAGTTCCTATAGGGAAATAAAACAAGAAAGACAGCTCGGAATATTGATAGTGCATTTTGCTTTTGATACTGCTACACACAAGAGATGGGGTATCAAATTGGTCTTCGAAATGTTTTTGTGGTAAGTTTGTCCTCACGAATGAAAAACGCGATCGAACCGAATCAAAAGCGAACAATAACGAAGTGAAAGTCACCGCCTTAAAGTGCAGACCAAGTACCATTGTTGTTTCGTACTAGCAAGCGAGGAGTATAAACTTACGTAGTCGAAGTCAGTAAAGTGAAAAAAAAAAGTTCAATGTGTAGGTTCCACATGAACTGAATAAAAAGCATAAACAACGACATCTGGAAGCTTGCAGGATGATGCTTCATTTTTAATTAAATTGGAACATATGATGAGAAATAGGGCCAAATCGATAACCGTAAACGTTCAGTACAGTA